GGGGGGCAGGGACTTTTTTTTTCATGTGCCCAGAGATGGACTTTAAAAATACAATACCCCCATTCTATGCCTGGAGCCAGCTCTGGCAGGTGACCAATAAATTCTAAAGTGACCGTCGGCAAATACAGAAAACGTACAAGGAAGACATTTGTGGTATGATGGGTCAGTGTATAAGGAAGTATAACACCATAGAACAGACCTTTCAGCTCCTCTTGACAGGAAAGATTTGCAAGATTTGTAACATTTCAGAATATCAGAAACAAGACCCATCAGTGTAAATAGCAATGTACTTACCCATCACTAGGACGAGCACAAGACGACATAATACATTCCCCCACAACGGAGCCATTCCTTGTTTACGTCTCTCCAGTCTGACTAACAGGTGAGTAAACAGGAAGTGATGGCTGAAACTGCAGGTAGCGTTGTCTCCGTGCACAGGTGATTCACAAGCCAGGGCGGTGTGAGTATGTCCAACCCCTATTACTACTGCTGCTGACGACATACGACCTGAAGAGAAACCAGAGTATACAACATTAGTCTCCGGCCTCCTCCACCTGAGCTGTGTTCAACCTTTAGCATTGTATTCATCATGTCGTTGTTACATAATGACACAATGGTCTCCTCCCCGGAGTGCTCGCAGACTAATCTTATCAAAACGTGTCCTGCAAGCTTACACCACCACTAAGGAAATACACAATTCAGGGGGAAAAACGGCCTTTCAACAGTCAAGCGCCAATTTCACAATGAAATCAAACAAACGGATTCCGCAGCTAAGCAATATTTATGCAGTGAGCAATTATAAAGATTATTCTGACATATAACAAGTAGCAGAGTAGTAATAAGATATTTTCTCCAGAGCCAAAAAATAACAGCAAAATTGTTATCATACTTACTGTAATTTTCCTTTCCGGACATGCTCCAAGGCAGCATACGGATGGGGATTAACCCTTCATATGCTGACACGGAGCAGTCAGGAAAACAGGAATATTGTTATATTTACCGTAATTTTCCTTTCCTGACATGCTCCATGGCAGCATACGGATGGGGATTAACCCTTCATATGCTGACATGGAGCAGTCAGGAAAACAGGACAATTGTTATACTTACCGTAATTTTCCTTTCCGGACATGCTCCAAGGCAGCACATAAATGGTTAAACCCCATTCATATGCTGACATGGAGCAGTTCAAGTAACTCTCACCTCAAAGTGAATGGAGCCTGAAGGCAATTTTACCGCCATACTACAGAGAGATTTAACCTTTTGTGGGCAGTCTCATCAGTAACCTGTCTGAGCTGACTGAAGAAGCTGTGTAATTAAAGTAGATGTAAACCTGAACAGAATGACATTTAGTTTACCAAAGCACTGTGGGGGAATTTATCAAAACTGGAGCAAATAGAATCAGAAGCAGTTGCCTATGGCAACCTATCAGCTTCTCTCTTCAGTGTGTTTAGGTGATCTTTCAAAATGAAAGAGAGACGCTGATTGGTTACTATGCACATCTGCTCCAGATTTTGTCTGCTCCAGTTTTGATACAATCCCCTCTGTGTATAATAAACCATTTGTATTTCTTGATAAAACAATTTCTATGAGCTTTTTTTTTAGTCCTATTTCTGCTCACATACTGTATATTAGATATGTGTATTTAAGAACATTTTTTACATGGGACTTTTCAGATGCCAATATTGCGTCAGCTTAATACAGTTACATTATCAAAAATAATTTATTGTATTATATACGAAAGAGATTTTTTAAAAATCACGATTAAAATATTGAACAGTTAAAATCTACTTATATGTGTCAGTCATTGCAACATTTATTTTCTCTTTTGCAACACCTCCTCTGCTTGCTACTAATCATATATAATTATATACATTCCATATGCATATACAGATACATACATATTTCTACATGTGATGGCTGCATGGCATTTCTCAGTACAAGTTTCTTTATGGAACATTCCTGTGTAATGTGTGTTGAAATGGTTAAGGTGGTTAAGGTGCCCATACACCTTACAATTATCTGGAGATTTTTGTCTGCGATAAGGTGCCCATACACTGCTCGATTCTCGTCCGAGAATCGCGGGAGCAGTGTGAACGAAGACGTGCGACCGTTTCTACTGTACGGTCGCACGTCTTTTGTCTAAGGAGCACGCTAGAAAACCAGCCGAAAATCGTACGATTTTCGGCTGGTTTGAACTGTGCTCGGGAGACAAATGCCGAACGGGCCGGTGTGCGCACGCGCACACTGCCCTTCAGCATTGCGGTCATCGTAAGCCCGCCCCTCAGGGGGGCGGGCTTGCGATGATCGAGAGTGCGATCTGCCTGTCCAAGATGGGCAGATCGTACGTTTTTTTAATTACTTTACAACCATCGCAAGACTAAGAATTTCTTCTGAAATTCTGCCAGTTGATGGGAAGTGCACAACCTCAATTACTGTACAACTGGCAGATTGTGGTCTTTCCAGCAGGCTACAAAACTTTTGTCTAGTTGGACGAAAATTTGACGTGTTAGTGGCGTTGTTGTACAACAAAAATCTCAAGATGAAAACTGTGCATGCTCAAATGAAAACCTGTTCTTTCGATCGATGAAAATCAGTCAGTTAGTGGTGCTGACGAACATTATTTGTGAACTACATTGATCTGTGTATGATGGGCTAATTGAACGAAAATTGAACAAGGGTTAGATGTCTGGACAAAAAGTTGTACAATGGTTGTAAGTAGGGATGCACCGATACCGATATCGGTGCCGAAGCTGAGTATTTGGATGAGTACTCGTACTTGCCCAAATGCTTCGATGCCTAGCCCGATACTTCGGATATCAGGAAGCCAGGCAGCACGTCCTTACACGCTGCCTGGCTCCCTGATTGGCCAGGAACCCGGCTCCATGCTTCCTCGTCACTTGTGTAATGACTAGCTGCCCGGTTTCCTGATTGGTCCGGAAGCTGGCCAATCAGGAAACCGGGCAGCGAGGAAGCCAGGCACCGTGTAATGACGCGGGGCTTGGCTTTCTGATTGTTCTGGGAAGTCGGGTTCATGCTCCCTCATCACCTCATTACGAGAGAGCATTGAGCCGGCTTCATGGCCAATCAGGAAGCCAGGCACAGCGTCATTTTACCGCGCCCGGCTTCCCCATTGGCCAGAAAGCCGGCTCCATATTTTCTCGTCACCCAGTGGCGAGAAGCATGGAGACGGCTTCCATGCTAATCGGGAAGTCAGGTGGCAAGTCTTTACATGCCGCATGGCATCCCGGCTAATCAGGAATCCAGGTGGCGAATAATTACACGCCGCCTGGCTTCCTTGACGGGACTTCCGGTATTGGTATTCGTATCGGTGAGTACCGGGGAAAAAATATCGGTACTCGATACCGAAAAAACGGTATTGGTGCATCCCTAGTTGTAAGGTGTATGTCCATCTTTGTTATATGGGCTTCGAAGTCGACATTGGAAGCCCATATAACAGGGTGACAATGCAGGAGCACAACTGTGAGACAAGGACAGAGCATTGTCACCCCATAAGAGGAAGTGCCTGAACAAGGACCTTCATGGCAGGATTGCCAGTTATTTTTTAAAGGAAAGTTGCAAGTTTAATAATATTGAAAAGTACTTTTGAAATTATATTTACAAAGTGATTGGGTTTACATATGTGCATTTTCACCTTTGCAGTCAAATTTGATAAACCCCCATTATATGTTATGTGTTCCCATTCACACAGAATACCTAAAAAGAATTTCTTTAAAAAATATATCTTGTCTTTTAGATGTTTCTTTGGAGGTGGCCTGTGTGCAGCCTGCAATCTATGCTGAAAGGGAGTCTGTCCCCATACAAAGACCCGGGACACACTGAGTTTCCTCTCATTAACATACAATGCTTCTTTTAGGACAGACAGTCCTAACCAGCAAAGTATAGACAGGGTTAATTATAGGAATCATTAGCCTCCCCCATCACAGTACATATGGGGAAAGCTAGGTCAAAACAAGTAAAAAAAATCACTTAAATCCCAAGTGTAGGATAGAAGTCACCCCTGCCAGCCCCCTCTCATGCCCCACCCCCTCTCCCTCTCATGCCCCACCCCCTCTCATGCCCCACCATCTGATTTAAAAGCCTTTTTTTACTTACCTTAAACCGTGGTCATGTGAGTTTTTACCTCTTCTGGTCACTTCCTGCTTGGGTCATTCCTAAGCACGCCACTAACCCGCAGAAAATCGTACGATTTTCGGCAGGTTTCCAAGAGTGCTCGGAAGACGAATGTCGTGCGACCTTACAGTAGAAGAGAATAAGTACTACCCTTGTCGCACTCCTTACCGATATGTCCCTTGTAGTGGGGGGTGCTCGCAGTGACCGCGGATGGCGCCGTGAATGTCAGCAAAAATGTAGAAATGTCACCAGCACACCAATCCTTTTAAGATAGCAAAAAGCTTAATTTATTGAAGTTTTTTGTCATATGACCAAACAAGCGCTTTCGGGACCGCGCAGGGTCCCTTCATCAGGCTTTAGCATTGACTTACTTCATTGATTTACTCCATCAGGGTTCAGGCACCTTTCTCCAGCGCTGCCAGGTGTGCCCACAGTTAAAATAGCTGCTGGTGCTTTGTCCCAACCTCTCCATTACGCTCTGCATCCACATTCACTTCTGCTGCAATTGCCAAGTTAGCTGTGCTGAGTGCTGACTTGCAACACAGCGTTCAGCCGCGGTTTGCTAACTCAGCACTCACATCGGCTGAGCAACTGAACACGCCTCAGGAATTCTGACTTTATTCCAGCTTTTTAATTTGCATGCTTATCGTAGACCAGGGCCCTTTCACCCAAACTAAGGTGACCTGTGTTGAACTGCACCAGTTCAACACACATCACTGCAAGGACACACAGAAAACAATTGTATACTGTCAGAATACACTGCACACAGCGGCAGATTCATTCACCCACATTGTTTGCGTTGACGGAGGAATCTGTCATATTTGTTTATAAATATACCCAGCTTTAGGTTCCATTCACATAAGGCTGCGTGCACCTCTAAATACAGGCAGGGCCGTCCTTACCTTATTCACCGCCTGAGGCAGCACAGAGAAGGGAGGAGCAGCGGCTGGTCGAGCTGTTAGCCGGGCAGAGGGGGTGGCTAGCCGAGGCTGTTAAGGTGCCCATTTCAGCCGGATTCTAATACGCACAGTGTCTGGGGCTGTCGGCTCCCTTTCAGCTGGCATTCGTTTATCAGCTGATCAAAGGAGCCGGCTGGAAAATCATCATGCGATCGGAGCCGGCAGCCAATGAGCCGGTGGCACCTGTCAGAATACTATGTAAACAGCGGCGATTCCTCAATCGACCCGCTGTTTGTGTTAATGCAGCAATCGCGTAAATTTCTTTAGTTCCGCCTACGGGTTGAATGAAAAAAATTGACAGGTGTATGGCCAGCTTTAGCAGGGCGGGAGGTGGAGGGCCACCAAGGTCTTAACCGGGTGGGAGGTGGCGGGCGGCCGTGCGGTCAACCAGGGATTGGTGGGTGGGGTGCTGTTAGTTGACCATGTT